TCTTATGATGTTCAATTTGATAATACAGTAATGCGATGCAACAGTCAAAAATCATTCCGTATTAAAGAAAAGTGCTGCTGTTTTGAAGTTGAACAATCATCTCAGTTTCAATGCTTCAAAAGTTTTCAATAAAATTGATGATAGAAAACATTAATTAAAAAAATTAATTAAAAAAAATTCTTCACTAAATCTGCACTAGCTTAATTCTAACCATCGAATTGAAAACAAAACTGCAAAACAAATATAGAAGTAGTTCTTTAAAAACTCTTTTTTTCGTGTTCTCTTTTCCTCATTCCTGCAGACATTTTTTCAAAAAATTACGCGCATGTACGCACACTCGGATGGTCATGAGCAACATAGATTATGAGAAATTCGGTTGATCAGAATTGTTGTACATTGTTTAACAAAAAAGCAATGGGTTTTTCAAATTTTGATTATATTCCATTATAAAAAGATAAAATGTGTTATCTGAGGTCCCTTCGTCTCAAAAATCTTACCAGAATCTTGAAGATTCTTGAAGATTTATCAAAGATATCAGAGAATTAATTTATCAATTTGATCAAGATCAAGAAATCAATTTGATAAAATGTGAGATTCAAATGCTTAATTCACTAAGTTTGATTTGAGCAGCGTACCCTACAAAACTGTCCCGCATCCGGTTTTAAGCTTTAATAATCATTTGTATTATAGTTTCAGCACCATTCTCATTAAATTAAGAAAAAAATCGATTTGAAGAAATAATAATTGATTATAATCTCTCTTTTTGAAATCCATTTATATTCAATTATAATAAATTTCAATTTATTATTGATTTATTTGTTTTTGATACAATTATAATCGATTATAATCAATTCTAACCATTTAATTTTATTCTAATTTCTAATTCAAATATTGTGCACAAAAAATTATTAAAATCGATTATAATCGATTTTAATCACTTTTGTTTGTCCATTTAGTTTTCAAACTTGCATCTGAATTGCTTATAATTTAAGCTTTTCGTTGGCGTTGGCTTCTCTGAAAGTTAAGAGAAATGTTTTAAATTAAATGAGTAAAATTTAAAAAAAAATTTATAACTTTTTTTATTCATTTCTCCATTGAAAATGTTTCATGATGCACATTTTAAATTTTTTTAATCACCAAAATATCAGCAGATTGCTTTATTTTCATGATTTATTCGGAAAATTTACTTTACACCTACCGCGTGAACTTTGGAACTAATATGGAAGGATCTCTATGAAACTTTTGTTTCGTCGTAAAACTTATTTCGTGGTAGTTGCACTAAAAAGTTAATGAAATCGAAAAAAGACCAATTGTTTAAAACTGTGGCCAAAATGGGCAATTCATATTTCTGCTATCATGTAAGCCTTGAAAGCCTTGGCAAAGCCTGTAAATATCAAAATTAGCACTCGTTTCTTTTGATTTGTTTTGGAAGATCCAAGTTTTGAGAAAAAACCAATAAGACAAATGTGAGCGTTGAAGAAGAAGCGAGGCAAAGTTTAAGAAATGGCAACCAAATGGGCAAAACTCAGGGAGACGCCAGTTGAGCCAAAAATGAATACTTAACAAAATTCTCCCCCCAAAAAACGCATGAAAAACTTTTTCATCATCAGACGGCGCAAAAAGAGCCAATATAATGTAAGCTGGATCCTATCAAGTTAAATAAAGGAAAAAAAAAAGAAAAAAGAAACATACAAAAAATTTGGAGTTGGTCATATTCCAACCAACATAAAAAACAGTTGTCTGATAGAATGGGAGCTTAATTTGCAAAATGCACAGAATTGTTAAGAGTATTAAAGATTGTGTAAGACATGTTCCTAACTTGAAGAGTTTCTATTTTTCGATTTGATAAACTTCGCTAATCACAGGCATAAAAATTCTAATAATTGTTATACTGATTGTTGTATAATTAAATAATTTTTCATTGAACTTCGCTGTTTTTTCAAAATTTTTGGAAGTCCCCCCTCTCGAGAAAATCCTAGATCCTAAATCCTAGATCAAGTTAATCCTCCAAATCAAGTTAAACCTCCAAGCCAATCCGCGGACCAAGTTAATTCCCAATTATACCAAGTAAAGATCTTCCACCCCAGCGTTCAATTTAAATTAAATTTGGGTAGGATGTTAACTTGGTCCAACTTCGCTTCTTTTCAGCGTGCACAAACTAGTGAACAATGGCACTACAGAGTTGATGTACAAACTGAAGTCCTTCTCAGATGACTCATCTTTTTGTGACGTCACTCTCGAGTACAGGGATGAGTCATTGGGGTTGAGTGAGGCGGAGAAGACTTTTCTGGAACATTTCTGCTCCATGCACCCTCCAGACAGTCTGTCCAGACTGCCCAGGCAGATATACGTGAGTCATCTTGTCTACTAATTTTCAACGAAAAAGATAAATGGTCAAAACAAGAGTGAGATTTGAAAAAAAAAACGTCGAAGTAAATAATTTTATGATAACCTTCTGATAACAATTTTATACTGCCTATGAAATGAAGTATTACAAAAGCAGAAATTTCTAATGAACAAATGTTTTGAAAGATTTACCAGAAAGATCAATTTAGGACTAATCCTAGTTAAATTACAGCCCATTTTCAAACTATCAAGTTCTAGGCGCAAAAAAAAATAATTATCTTGAGTCGCAAAAAAACAGCTTGTTTTTTTCATGGTAAATATAATGGTAAATATAAAGATTTTTTTCATGGTAATTGTATGAGTGTTTTTGCTTTATGATAAGATTGAACAGCTGTTGACCCGCAATGGTTTAATATTGTTGTTCTAGATCACTTCCAGATGTGAATCTCAAGCCATGCGTCTATTCGAATACACTGGACGAGTGGACGACAACGAAGAGGAAGTGTTCCGATTCACGAGGGCGGGAGACTTCTTCGACAGGATAGAGTGTCGCTTCAATCTGCAAGCGACAGCCGACAACAAACGAAGACCACTTCGCTACTCTACTGATGAAAACAGTTATTACTACCCAGCAAGAAACGGTTTTCTACGATAACTGAATGGAAGGATTGCTGATTATTCGACATGATTTGATACGTATATAAGCCATAATTATATAGCAAAATGTGTAAAATTTTTAAGTTAAATTTAATTAAATTGTATTTAATCAAATGTTTCCTTTTTTAAGATTTAAGAACTTTCGTGAGTGAGCTGCATAATTTTATCTGAAATAATTATTCTACAAACGCCGATTATCTGCGAGATTCCCTCCCCTCAAACATTGGTTTTTTACATGGTTTTCTGATTCTTAGTTTATGCGTTTTAAGACAAAACGCAAAAACGTTTGGCAAAACTCAAATAATTTTCTGTAGGTATGGAATTATATGGAAATGCATGAGAAGAAGATTGTCATACGATAAAACTGTATGATAAGAAAATTTGGTCAACCCCGGCAAAACAGCAAATTGTCTTGACTGGATGGGATTTATTTGGATTCTTATGATTTCTTGATGAAATATTTACTGATTTGATTAAAAATGGTCAACAAATTTCTGCAACGGCGTTATAAATTGCAAAAAATCAAAACAAGGATTTGATACAATTTCAAACTGTATAATCAAAACATTTTCTTACCCAGCGTGATATAATTTACAAACTCATAATTGTTGAACTTGTTGATAACTTAAATCACCTTACTAACAAGATTAAACTATCAGAACGTAACTGAAACGTCGATTAAACTGATTTTTATGCGTATCAAAGTCCAAAATTTTATAAGCAATTTCAAAAACTCTGCATCTTGCGCTTTGTATGAAATGCATTCTTTACGCAGAATTATTATTCAGAATTCAAACATGAATGGAGAAGGCATTCTACGGTAGGTCATACGTGGGGATTGTGCGGTTGATTCGTCGTTCAATATAAAATATAAAACTTACGATTTTCAGAACCCTATTTTTTGAATCCGAAATTTTTTCAGGCTTGTTACAGTAGTGATCAGAATTAGGCAAAAATTTAGGTTTTTGGCCTCAAAACTGTCCTTTTCAGTGAAGATTTTGGACAATATTTACTTCGAATTCAATTAAAATTTATACATAAAACAAGGAAATGAGTAGAAAAAGCAAATGAGCAGAACTGCACCTTATAAAAACCATCAAAATTTGATTTCCACGACTTACCAATTTTTTACGGGTCTGAATGGCAAGTGTTTTTCAAGTCATCGCGTAATTAAAGTTATCACGTTGAACAATTCAGTTTTCTTGCTGAGAATAATTTACATCGCATGAACACTTTCTTACTCCGTTTATCTGAGAAAGTGTTCAGGATAGCTTAAGTGGAAAAATATAACAATGGCGTTTTCAGACCTTGAATAAACTGGCAAGTCCCTAAAACCAAATATTGATAATTTCATATATGGTAACTTTGACCAATTTCTTTCATTCTATGTACAAACTTTGCTTAAGTTCGAAATAGTTAAAACCCGAAATCGCTTTTGAACCCAAAAGCATTCTAGAGAATGCAACCTTGTTTTTGCTATGAATTTTGTAAAAGAAGCAAAAGCAGATTTTATCTTTCAATTGTCGTGAACTTATAGATTATCAAAATTTTTTCACTGAGATAATTACCGTCGTAGAATAAATTATATGATTGCTAATTAACATCTCATGTCCGGCTGGCAGTGGATGTATTTGCTTAAATGTTTCAAACTCGTGTTTTTTTATTTGACTCAAAAAAGAGAAAAAACAAAATGTAAGAAAATCGTAATCGACATCTCCTAAAGTTTGAAATATATTCTAAAACGCGACACTAGCATTTAGCAATGGCTCGATTTGTCGACTTTAATGTCGTTGGTTTCTAGTCAGTTTAAAAAAATATTTGCATCTATATGAGCACTTGTATGCAAAAAGAAAACATTTAATGGCAAGTAAGCATTATTGAATGCATGAAAATCAGTATCCAAAAATGGTTATTTGACCCGTATGTTAATGATTCTAATTTTAGACAGTTTTTACGACTTGGCTTCAACTCTTGTCTTAATTACGCCTTGCGACGTGACACAGTGCGTTGCTTTCGGCGTTAAAACTAATTTTGAGCAAAATCAGATTATGCTTTGACCAAACGTAAAGAAAAACAAACTACCACTAATTTATTAAAATTACCGAAACTTACTTTTGAATGAAGTGATTTTGATTGTATAGAATGGTTTAACAAAACTGGTTAAGAACAGATGATAGAATAAATTTTATGTATAGAAGCTATAATACAAAAAATTACTACCATAAGCAAAAACTTGAAAGTGTTATCAAAATTTGAGATCTTGGCCATAATTGCTCTGTTACCGCGTAACAACAGCAACGTGAACAGTAATTTGATCACGACCCACTTTATTATGAAATAATCGTATCGCATTTTTGTGATCAATCATATCTTCTATTATATCAACAGATCATTGACAAAAATTAATACCATACTCGTTTATCAACAAATCTGTGAACAATTGCAAACTATTTAAATAACAATCAACATATTGATACATTCTCCTTCTGTTTTCTTCTCAAAATTTCCTATTGCCTACCTTAAAGCATCAAAACAAATTTGCGTTAATTGCTCAAAATCCAGCAAGAAGACACTAGAAGGAAAAAGGATGGGGTCAGGGCCCAGCATTGAAGGGGGCTATGTACACTCTTCCGACCAGCAGCTATGGTGCAGCAAATGCACTCAGAGATTCTATGACCCTCGACGTCTGCCAGGGTGTGGTCATTTAGTCTGTGGCCCCGCCTCTCCTAACAATTGTGCCAACCAAGTACTCTCCGATCAAAACCGACGTTGCCCAGTGTTTTCGTGTATGATGGCTATTCTGGCGACAATATTTGTGGAAGACCTTGCAACTCCGGATCTACAAGGAACCGAAGAGTTTCTCTCAGCAGAGTACAAAGAGGTCATGAAACAACAAGGACTGACAAAAACCAAACCATCTACATCAAAAACTACAGGTAAGTTTGATGATTAAATATTACTGGTACGAAAGTTACTGCTACAGATTGCATTTGAACTATAAGTTATATCCTGTCTTAACTAGAGTTTCAAAGCGCTTGTTTTAAACCAAAAATAACGATGAAAAAAATATATTTGGAATAGTTTGAAATTTATTTTATAGAAAAACGCACCAGCGGAGTAAAAAAATGAGGAGTTTAAATGTAATTCGCTTATGCATCTCTCCCATGAAACGATGCCAATTACACTAAGTGTTTTTGTTTCATCTGTTTCATTTTTGTTTAAATACAATTGCTTTTAAACTTTAATTGAGAAAGGATTTAATTTTTAGTTTTGTATGATATACCATCTATCTAGCATGTTCTTGAGATTTAAACAAATTGAGAAATAACACTACGAGGTCAAACTGTTCACTGGATAGGCGCACAATTTTGTGTCTGTATGTTCCTGAATCCCAGAGACAAGTCTTTAAACATGTTCCAAAATTTAAAGGGATTCCTCTGACAAAACTTCCGCGGGTTCCGCGTACAAATACCTGTAACGCAAATTTTGTCGGCACATCAATTTTGTTGCGGATTCCGCAACGAGCGAATATAGGTATTTGTTCCAGATTCCGGAAACGTAAGTGGATTCCGCAAGTTTATGTAGCTTACAATTTGCGGATTCCGCTTACAATTTGCGGATTCCACTTATAGTTGCGGCTTCTACGAAAGCTCAAGTTTACTAAACAAATATAATAATATTCGTTCATGGATTCCAAATCGTTCATGGATTCGTTCACAACTGTGTTCCGGGTTCTAAAAATTTTGTTGCGGATTCCTCAAAATTTCCTGTTTATGGAGCAATTTTGAGCAATACAGTCTGTTAGCTATTTGACCATGGAATCCCAAACAGCAGAGAAGATGAAAAAATAGCAATGTTGCGGATTCCGCGACAAATCTGATTTTGACTTGTTGCGGAATTTACTTAAAATTCACAAAATACACAGTTTGGTCTCGTATTAAAAAAATCTGTTGTTGTGATATTTGGCAACTTTAACCACGGGCTCGAGCGTATCTGAGACCAGTTTGTTATGGCTGACATGAAAGTTTTTTGTTTTTTTTTTCCTAAATAAAGGAATGCCAAATGGTCCTTCAGTTTAGCCATTTTAAAAAGCAGAAAACTAAAACTTGCGTTAAAATCTCACATTTATTTATAAAGTGAATTTTGTAAATTGAGAGTTATTTTTGTTATTTAATGTTGTCGAAAAGTCTGGGTTTTTTTTTTGAACGAATCAACTCTTCTTGATCAGATTTTTTAGAAGAAAAAAGCTAAATGTTTGATTTTGATTTTTCGTTTTTTCAAAAATTCAATTTTTATTGAAGTGATTAACTTTTTTTTGTACACTTTTTTTTATATTTTTAAAATCGATAACAAACATTTTTTATGTTACAGTGATGAAAAAACGCTCCGCAAAACTCACAAAAATTCATTAATTTCAATTTTGCTTCAAAAATACCTTCAAATTAAGAACTCAGCGGGACAAATGAGCTGTGATAAAACTGGAGAAATTAAAAACGTAATCACATATTTTTTTTTGTTAAAAGTTTCTCTTCTGAAAAATTTTGAACCTGAAGTTTTTTCTTTGCGCATGTCAAAACCACAAGTTTTTGATCGGAATTGAAAATGTTTGTTTGAATAGGAATTGCAAAAACCAAATTTTTATCAAATTTTCAAACTGTATATATCAGTAAAAGCAACAATAACTAATAAATTGTTCGGTCGATTGTTTTCTTGATCAATAAATTCTCACAGTGTCACAGTATTTCACAGTGTCACAGTATTTCACAGTGTCAAAGATTTGGCGAAAATGAAGACCACAGCTTGAAATCAAAACCTGACAAAGTTGAGTTGTTTAGGAGTGAGATAAAAATATTATATCAATTAATTTAATTAATTGAATACCACAAACATATATTCATTAGAAACAAACTTGATGGCAAAAAACAGCTATCAACTTCAGCAAGATTAATATAAATTTTCTGTCTGGGTTTCACGAAAATCTGAAGTATGTAAAAAAATGTATGAAAGATTAAACAGCTTTATTTTGATTTTTTGTGCTGTTTTGTGAAACCGTTTTGTTTTGTCTTTTTCTTGTAATAGTTAACGCTTAGCAAACATTGGGTAGTTTTTTGTGCTCTTTCAAACAACGATATAAGATTATGTTTTTTGAAATAGCAAAAAACAGAAATCGCTCAAACGAAGAAACTGAAAATTGAAATGAATATCAGAGGAAAATTCGAATTGATTTCTGCCGCAATCTGCGGTGTTGACAAGAAATCATCATTTGGATGAACCAAAATGTTTGAATTTTCTATTCGTTAATGATCTCATTTTTAGTCGTTTCATCATCCACTACAGGGGCAATTCCAAATATCAGACACCTGAAGACAGCTGGAAACGACCGGGTCGGAGTTGTGACGAATCTAGTTGACAATGAGCGCCGAAAAATTCTGATTGTCGGAAAAACCGGCACGGGTAAAAGTAGTCTTTGCAACATCTTGGCTGGTCTAGATTTCAACAATCCGATGTTTGCCATCTCCGCCGATGCCCAAAGTTGCACTGAGCAGACCAATTTGGCGAATGTGTACTTTAACGGGGATGTCATTCGACCGATCAGTATAATAGATACGATCGGTTTTGATGATCGCGATAGGGATACGGACACCGATATTATAAGAGACTTGGAAACTTCACTTAAGACCAGATGCGACTATGTAAACTTATTTGCTATCGCGGTGAATGGACAAAATCCCCGTCTAGACGGATCGCTCGTCGGAATGATTGGAATATTCCAAGAGATGTTCGGCGAGGCGTTCTGGCCTCAGACGGTGGTCATTTTTACTCGGCTCTCAATGAAGGAGTCTGCCAAAGCAGATCGAGAAAGAATAGCAGGGAAAACTGACCAAAAACTAGCACAGGAGTATCTGCTTGCTGTACGGAAAAAGTTTCCCAGCTGTCGTGCGCTGAAGTATCTCTTTATAGACTCGTGTAGGGATAGAAGCGACACAACTTCCGAACAGACATTCCAGTCTTCGATGGAACAACTATGGTCTATGCTTCAAGGGGCGCCGGAGCTGTCGACTGACCGAGTGAAAAAAGCACAATCGGAAAAAGCCAAATTATTGGAACAGCTAGAAAAGAGGTAAAGCTTTGACAAATCATTAACAATTAGGTCATGTTATTTTTCAGAAAACAGCTGTGAAAAATTTGATCGAAATTTAAATTCATATGTTTCGGTTCGAAAATTGATAACAAAAGTGCAAATGAGGCAAAAAATCATACACGAATTTTTATTCCAAAAACCTTTTTTAAGAGATTTTGAAGCAAAATAACCATAGTAATTTTAAAAACTTTTATCGGATCAATTTTTATCGGAATCAGGTTAGATGTTCAAAAAATGTCAATTGTAAAAGATTTTTGGAATGATCGACCCTTTTTTCATCCTTTTTTCTTCTTGGAATCTGTATCATTGCTGATTCTTGAAACGGGTTGATGCCGCACTCACCGCAAACCAACATTTTGTTCAGTCTCCAAAACAAATCGAAATGGGAAATTCCCCCATTTCGAAGTTCAATGCCGATGTTGTAATCAGTGGCTATTACGTATTTAAAATTATTTTTGTGCATGGTTTTACAATTGTGAAAATTAGTTTTCATTTTATACTTGGGGAAAAATTCAAGACAAAACAAAATATGATTCATTCTTGTTTAACCGTTATTTTTCAAAGATTTCGTTAGAAGTTATATCAAAAATAATTCGCCGAACAGCTCTATTCTCTCTAGTGTGAATACAATGTAAATTTTTACAGAAGATACCAATTTTTAAATCGCAGTTGTTGTTCTCGTTTTTGAAGAAATTGAGGAAAATGTATGCTTGGGTGGTTTTTTTATGCAATACTCATAAAAATCAAATTGACAGCGTAATGGTTTATCTTGGAATTTTCGGATTACCAAGAACGTGTACACGCAATAACTTAAATGTTTTAGTAGACTATAGGTTTAAAAATTAGTTGTTCGAAACTACAAATTATTTATGCGTTGTCAATTAGCTTGAATTATTTTTCCGACTTTCGATACGAAAGTAACAGAATATTTGTGCTCGGGTGGGTTTTTTTTTCTTCAGACAAATTTCCACTTTTTAACTAGCCATTTTCGACGGAATTTTTTAAATATCATTCAAAAGTTATTGTTGTCCTGAGCTCAAGCTTTAAAAGATTTTTTACCTGTGATCATTTTCCGTCAAGTTATAGGGGTTTAAAGATTGCCATTTTGGCCAATTTGGGACAATTACCGCGCGATATACTTCGCGCTATTAAAGCTTAAGCGGAGAGTTAATCCGTATTAAAATTGTTCCAAATTGGTTGAAAAAAGATAATTCGCTATAATTGATATGTTACAAGGAGCTAACACTATCTTTTTGTATTTTAAATGGCGTGTGGGAGGATGATTTTAAAAAAACATTTCAAATTAAAAAAAAAACTTTCATTTTATTTTATTACATTTAATTTTTTAATGTTATTACTGCTCCATAAAACGTTAAAAGGTAGTCGGAAAATTCAGGGCTTCGCCCTGATACGAGCAGTCTTGTTCATATTGGCAATCGAAATTTCAAACTTTTTCGAAACTTTTACAAATTACTTTTCGAGACTGGTTGAAGGGCAATCCGATTATTCAGAGTTTTTGCCCTGCTATACGAGCATTTTTAACTTTAAGTTTAAGTTTGAAATGTATCGTTTTGCTTTTGATTTCTGACATTTGTATTGACAGAATGTCTGAGCTCGATTTAGTTTTGTTGTTCAGAAAATTTCTGAAAAGTTTTTAACTAATGATATTTGATGGACTTTTTTTGGGTCATCACTTTTTCGAAACTGTGGCAAAGTCGGAAACCGTTAAAAAAAGTTTAATATTTTGCTTTAGAGTATTCTTTTTTAATTAAATTTAGATAGTTGCCAAAAATTCTATTCAATATAATTATCTAAAGAAGTCCAACTAAAGGTCACCAAATTTCAATACCAAATTTTTTGTTTCTTTCATCCAAATTAGTATGGTTGGAGCTGAGAATAAATCAAACAAGACTGCTCGTATCAGGGCGAAGCCCTTAATGTTCCGACTGCCATTTAAGGTTTATGGAGCAGTAATAACATTAAAAAATTAAATGTAACAAAAAAATGAATTTTTTTTTTTAAATTTAAATATTTTTTTTTAATGAAAATCATCACCCCACACGCCATATAAAGTACAAAAAGATAGATTTAGCTGCTTGTAACAAATCAATTATTGCAAACAAGCTTCTTTCAACCAAATTGGAACAATTTTAAGATGGATTAACTCTCCGCTTACGCGTTAATTGTCCCAAATTGGCCAAAATGGCAATCTTTAAACCCCCATAACTTTACGAAAAATGATCACAGGTGAAATATCTTTTCAAATTTGAGCTTAGGACAACAATAGCTTTCGAATGATATAAAAAAGTTTTGTCAAAAATGGCTAGTTAAAAGGTCGAAATTTGTCTGAAGAAAAAAAACCCACCCCGAGCACAAATATTCCGTTACTTTCGCATCGAAAGTCGGAACAATAAAAACGTTCTATTTTCAGTGAACAAGATTTTCAACAAATGAAAGCTGACTTTGAGAACTTCAAGTTGGATCAAGGAACAGCAATTGGAGAAATGGAAAGAAGGCATACTGCTGAGATAGAAAAGTTGCGCGCTGAAAAATATGTTTTGGAACAAACCTTCGGAAAAAACATAGGCGATCTTAAATTCAAACTCAATTTACAGATTCAACAAAATCAGCAAAAACAAGAGAGCTTAAGAAATGAACACGCCACAGAGTCTTCAGCAAAACAAGCAAATTTAGAACAACAGCTGAACGAATTAAAAGAGCAACAGGAAAAAATGTTGAAACAACAAAGCAGCTCCAAAGATTTGAAGAAAAAAATTGAGCAACTGGAAAAAGAGCAGCAACAAGCTAAACATAAAAATGAGACTGTTGCACAAAGTCAAAATAGACAATTGTCTGATCAACTACATAAATTAGAACTAGAAAAAAATAGATTGGAAATTGAACTGAAACAGAAAGAAAAAGAATTTGAAAGAAAACTCACGAAACAAATGTTGGCAAAAGAAGAAACCCTGAGAACAAAGCACTTAACAGAGTTGCATGAAATGAAGGAAGCTGCCAGCCAAGCAAAAATTTTAAGGCCTGCAATTGAAAACAGTAAGAACATTTCTCTACTGGATGATCAAACTCTTGATACTATTGCAAAATTTTATGTTCTAAAGGCGCTTTCGGCGCCAGTAGATTCTAATTGAGAGGACTATTTTCCAAAGTATGGGCTTCATAGTGTTTTCAGGGTACACGGAAAATTAATTTGGTCGAACTTTATAAAATTATCGAAACTTTTTTTGAAAAAATCTGCCTCCCCTAGAAAAACCCTAGATCCGCCATTGAAGACGTGTCGTCTGTGTTTTAGGCGAATGGAAGGCCAAATCATACTCAAAACTGATTGAAAGTGGTGAAAAAGTCTTGGATACTTTTAGTACTTTTGATAAGGTGATTGGATTTTTGAAACGATCCTACCCAGAACACACTTGGTGCATCCTTTTGGGAGGAAAGAACTGCAATTACTGTCTGAAAGGGAGAGCGGAGTTTGGGGAGTTGGCTACATGGACAAACGACTCTCAGTGTAATTACGACATGTGGGTGTATGGAGCAGAAACGTCCGTTTTGAGAGAAAGTGGAGGAAAAAATAGAGACGAAGATGAAAAGACGGCTCAGAGGATAGTACAAGATGTGACTGAGAGTGATATGTGTAGTGAAACTAGCAACTACAGCGCAAATAGAATCACAAAAGTGTTAGAGTCTATTTTGAACAGCGAGCAACTGCAGTGGCTGGCCATTGAAGTTCGCGATTGGAACTCTGGAATCGGTTACTCCGATTGGTCCGATTTGACCAATGTGAGCTGTGTCTATGGATATGGCGACAAATATTGCATTTGGGTATCACTCTTAAAATGACTGTCTCCCTCTTATCCCTCACGCATACATACGCCCATCTAGTCACACTCTCCAGCCTCCGCACTATAACTGAACTATAATGTCTGTCCCAGAAATGAATCAAATAGTATTTTTTAAGTGTAAAAGAGCAAGAAAGTACTTTCACTTGTTTAAGTCTTGATGTTTTTTCTATGTTTTTTTTTGTCAGACAAAAATCTTAAAAAGATCTAATAACTACAGAAGATCATCATTCTCTTTATATCGTTTATGAATTCACTTATTGTTCCGACTTTCGATACGAAAGTAACGGAATATTTGTGCTCGGGGTGGGTTTTTTTTCTTCAGACAAATTTCGACTTTTTAACTAGCCATTTTTGACGGATTTTTTTTTATCACTCAAAAGGTATTGTTATACTGAGCTCAAATTTGAAAGGATATTTCACCTGTGATAATTTGTTGTAAAGTTATAGGGGTTTAAAGATTGCCATTTTGGCCAATTTGAGACAATTTACGCGCGATATATTTCGCTCTATTAACGCGTAAGCGGAGAATTAATCCGTCTTAAAATTGTTCCAAATTGGTTGAAAGAAGCTTAAAAGGCAGTCGAAACATTCAGGGCTTCGCCCTGATACGAGCAGTCTTGTTAGATATATATGCAAAGTTCAAATTTAATTTCATCTGCGAGTTCAACTCAATTTCATCCTCTAACAATAGGGTAAATTGCGCTCTTCAATGGGGAGCGTTCTCTTGCTTGAGGGACAAAATGCCTGAAAAATTTCAACCAATCAAAATCGCTAAGAATTCTCATTTGGCTAAATGCCTTTCCAGCAAAATCGAAGTCAATATTAACAGAAAATGTTTTACAATTCGTGCAGATCTAATAACTTTTTTTTGTTTATCCATTTTTCGTAAATTGTTATCTTTGAAATATTAAATTTCTTCCAATCAGCTTTCTCTCCGGCACTATTTGAAGACTCATCTGCTTTTCATTTAATCGGTCAATATTAACATTAATGGCCTGGATTTATTTGTTTACTTTGAGATTTTTGCGATTTACTTTCAGATTTTGAATGCTCAATTCTGATTGGCTGAAAGTAAGCTAAAATAAAGTTTAAGCATTCGGTCCCTCAAGCATAAGGGACGCCATAAGCCAACATTCTCATAGCTTTCGATGTTAGCGATATTTGGGGACTGATCCTTTAGCAGACAAATCTTTTAGCATAAAAAGTAAAAAAAATGAGTCTTTTACCAGACAAGCGTAATAAAGTGATAGATGATTGATTGACAGACTCAAAAAGACGAAAAAATAGGGGTTTCGAAAAATGTTTGAAATTGTGTGGACTTTTTCCCCCGAAAACACTATAAGGTCCCCAGTTTCTGGAAAATTTTGTGCGCCGCAGGCAAATTTTTCGAGAAACATGGCAAAAAAGACGTTTTTAGGTATTTTTTGAAAAATTTGGACCAATAATTTGCGGTTTTTTGGCGCGCGCTTCCCCTCAAAATTAATTATCTTGCGCCAAAAGCGCCTGAACAATCTCCCCCTCTATGGTATCTACTAAAAAATCTTCACTTGTCAAATTAAAACAGAAAAATAGCCCTAGAGTCTTCTTTTGCTGCATTCTGAATGGTTGAAAGTTTGCCTTAACCAATAAATAACCATCTCCCTCTCCTTTCTTGTAAGGGAGAGGGTGCTAAAGAAATCCAATAATTAATATAGTTGAAAATGTCACTCCAATTTTGATCACGGCAAGTGCAACAAGTAATAATTTATCATCATACTTATAGGATTTGTTTGTATCGGCAGATATTTTCCCACTACTTCAAAAAATTTGATTTCGTTCTGTAGCTAGATCTATTCGTGTAAATAATGTAATTAGAAGTTTTCACCAGACTTCGTTTTCAAACTGAACAGGAAAATTGATGACCGAGCAAGGTGTGTTTTTCAGTCTAGAAGGACTGAATTTTAGCGGCAAATCCCAGCCAATCAAAGTCTTCAATATGCCGAATACCTTGACTGTATTTTTTGACATGGTTTGGCCATGAGGGTACTTGAAAGATAACACGGTACATGACAAACCCAAAGTTTTTTCAAGTTTTACCCCCTGAATGAAAAATTGAAAAAAAAAAAATATATATTACAGAATTAGTTCAAATTTTTTGAAAAAAGAACATCATTATGCAGTACGTTCAATTAAGATGCAAAAAGATACAAAAAAGATACAAAAAGATCAAAAAGATACAAAACGTGGAGAAGCGACAATTAAAGGCGCATTCGATCTAGAGTTTGTAAGGTCTATGCGGAAAAAGCGTTAAGTTTAAAAAATTGTTTAAAGTTGAACTAGTTAAAATAGTTTAATTATGGCCTGGCCGATAGTAATGCCCTGCCTGTCGTAATAAAATTTTTATATATATGTAAATTAAGTAACATACATTTTTAGAAACAAAAATTTTCAATTTGTTTTTTTTTCATCTTTTAGAATTTTTGTGCAATCTAAAACCATTGCCATTTTTGCTCCGCGCGTTTTACTAAGTGCAGTTTTGAATCAGTGTTGAAAAAACAAACTAGTTTTGGGTTTTTCATTTTTTGATCTAATTAAGCAAATGAAAAACCCAAAACTAGTTTGTTTTTTCAACACTGATCCAAAACTGCACTTAGCAAAACGCGCGGAGCAAAAATAGCAATGGTTTTAAATTGCACAAAAAATCATATATCAGTATAAAAGTTAATTTTAGAGAATTGGTCGACTAGTTGGTTATCACAGCGGACCTCTGAAAAATGCACTTGTTGTTCCGACCTAACGAAAGTAACCGAATATTTGTGCTCGGGTGGGTTTTTTTTTCTTCAGGCATGTTTCGACTTTTTAACTAGCCATTTTTGACAGAAATTTTTTTATCATTCAAAAGTTATTGTTGTCTTGAGCTTAAATTTGAAAAGATATTTTACCTGTGATCGTTTTTCGTTCATTTATGGGGGTTTAAAGATTGCCATTTTTGACAATTTGGGACAATTAGCACGCGATATATTTGCGCTATTAAGGTGTAAGCGGAGATTAAATCCGTCATAGAAATCGTTCCAAATTGGTTGAAGGAAGCTTATTTGCCATAGTTGAATTGATAAAATGAGCAAAATCTATCACTTTGTGTTCTATATGGCGTGTGGGTGGATTATTTTCACAAAAATCTATGTTGAAAAAAAACTGTTTTTATTACTTTTACATTTAATTTTTCATGTTGTTACTATTCCATAGACCTTAAAAGGCAGTCGGAACCTTTAAGGCCTCTCCCTGATACGAGCAGTGTTGTTGGCCATCGGACTGAACCAACTGCGCCAACTGTTTCATAAAACAAAGAAAAATGGGCTCTCTGAATCAATTCCAAAAAAACTAAGCACACATAATTCCAAGTTAGCTAGGAAAAAAAACTCGATTTAAAACGCAAGCGTTTGTATCTGTACAAAAATATATATTGAGCCACCAAATCTCTCATAATAAAAACGGTTTGTCACAACATATAATCCAAAATCATAGTTTTATGACGCACCCGGGTTGACCTCCATAGACCGAAAATGCTTATCTTACAATTCCACACACCGAAAATGCATATCATACAACTCCATACATCAAATGTATGGGAAAATGCTAGTCAAACAATTTTCATACAATTTCAAAAAATCCTTGAAAAAAGATTCAAACTAGTTTCTGCGGCCTGGTGATGAAACAGTCTGGTGATGAAAAAAAATTATTGGAAAAAATGGTTATCATACAATTTCCATATATGAAAGTTGTATGACTAGCATTTTTTTGATGGAGACAAAAAAAAATTTCCAAGTAAGATTGAAAATGCCGCAAAATACTTTTGTTTTTTTAACCGCATTTCGAATTTTGTACTCACACAAACACTTTCCAAAAACAACAGTTTGCATGCATACGTACAGATCCGAGTAACCAGGCATCCCCTCCACGCACAATCTCCACCCCATTCCCAGACAAGGTCAAACACAAAAGAAGTTCTATATATGAAACAGAAAAACCTGTCATAGCCAACCATTCTGAAATCAGATTTGAGTTTGTTGCGAAAACCCAGTCGTTGTCATTAAAAGACACAACGATTGAACCTGGAACTTCTCTAACAAGAGAACCCAGAAGAAATATGATGTTCGCCAAATACCAACGTCCATCATCCATCCTTCGAATTGCAGAAAGACTATTCTAAAAAACTCTGTAAAACCCGGATGGGTGGAACCTGATCTAAACTACATTTTATGATTGGATAAATTAGATATTTTACCACTGTAAAGTATTTAATATTAACCAATCATGATCCATCTAACTAACAACTCACTTATTTGTAAGTGCTGAAATTACTTGTAATTTCAGCACCAGAGAGATTTGAATTTAACTTAGAAATTAGTTGACTCTCCAAGAAGACTTCAGCAGCCGCTATAAACCAGTATACCCTAGATCTATTGAGCCTAGCAGAGACTAGTTAAACAACCTGAGACTAGATAGTATAAGAGTAAGATTAGGATCGGTATTAGACTAAGAAGTTGCACGAATCTATCCGGCCGAAAATAAGATAGCGTGACGAGCAGACGGTGTACCCTATCCGAAATTACTCTATGAGTTAACCACATCGGTCCTAACTCACAAGATAAAATATTAGGTCTATAAAGTGAACTATTAATCTATAAAACGATCTACAAAGCGAGCTACCAGAAAAAAATCTAAAGCCATGCCATATGCTAGTCAATAGCATTTTTTGAAGAAATAACTTTAGGCAATTTCACGATGTAATATACCCGGGATGACAAAAAAGCTTGTGAAAATATACGCGCATTAAAAAAAATCAGTAAAATTCGAACCCATATATCTAACCTATAAATAAACCAAACAAAAACTAGCTTTAACTACAACTGCTTCGATTTACCTAAAAAAAATCGAAACCAAAACTCAATTTCTAAAATAATTGAACCCTAAAGAATGAAAATTACCTAAAAAAGCAAAAACTTATAAATTAGAAAACGAAGACATGGAGCCATTTTCAGTGTTTCAGTTTAAACTATATTTTTTCTTGCTAATTGGAACGAATTGCTTAGAATTAACCAAAAATAGATTAGAATTTAGACAAAACATTTTTAAAATGTTATACGACGATAATTTAATCGAAATGTCTCTACGACTCAATAGATCAGAGCCAATATTCCGAACGATAACAGAACTACCCGGAATTGGAAGAAGACCTCGAACCAGAGACGACATACGACAAAGTAGAAACTTACCAAATAGTTATATGATAGTACGGCAAAAGCCAACACAAACTTTTATATTTAGAATTTTATTAGCAATGAATTTAGATTTTCATTTGCAAACATAAAATCTTGAAGTCAATCTTCATAATCATTTCAGGCGCTAAACAAAATTATTAATATACAATAACGATTGATAAAAAATCTCAGATCGTTTCCCTAAAATTCTGCAGTATTATACAAAACATGTTTGGAAAATATTTATTGAAAAATCAAAACAAAAATTAGTAGCATGACAATAAACTGTTAGTAATCATAAATTATCCTGTTGTTCCAGCTTCATCACCTAAACATAACAGCATTCATAAGCTCACTAATATCATTGAAACACTAAATCTTTTCCTTAAACAAATTTAAACCATTTTAAACTTAAATTCACTTAATTTTAAAATCAGATCATCAAGGCTTATCCTTGGATCTTAATTCATTTTCTATTTAATTAAATTTAAAACTTGATCATCGAGGCCTATCCTTGGATCAAAAAGAACAATTTTGTTCTCCCCACCCACTTAGCTAGTGTCTAACGACCTCAAACGTCGATTCACTATCCAACCCTTTCTATAAACCCAAGACTAATAGAAATTTTTGAACAAAACTAACCATTCAAATTAGGATAAACAGTGAAGAACTTCGGTTATTC